AACTAATTAATCTAGAATATAATTTCAGATGTGGCAAAGGACGTAGCTATGGTTGTGAACTCATCTCAATTATAGTCTAACTTGCTTTCACAGGGCTCAACCGTACTGGTCTCGTGAAGTCGTCTCAAAAAAAATTTGGGTTAATTCATAGGTATGGTTGGGGTTTAGAATATGAGATCGAGAGCTGTGAGTAGTGGTTAGAGAGGGAGGATGCTGTGCTATATTCAAGGAAATTTACAAAGGAAAAATTATGTTCATTGTCGTCAAACTCTATGCTTTGCCGCGATGGCTGCTTTCCTCCACCACAATGGCCACCATGCTTACTGTGATTTGTGTGCACTTGCTCTTTAACCAGAGTGTTCAAAGTGGTGAGGATGTCTGATTTTTTGATGTGCAGGTTTAGGTTCTTTTGATTATGGCAAAGGACAATGTTGTCAAGAAGTTTCATAACTTGGGATATTGTTGTCTAAAAAATTCCAATTCTAGAGAAGTCTTCTCAATTCCATGGGCTTACCTATGGAATCCAATTCCATCAAATTTGGCGGAAGTGGGTTCTATGAGAAATTGGGTTCCAATGTACCAAACCATCTTTTTTTTTTAAATTTTAATTCCAATTTCATTTCTCTCACCTCAATTTCAACATACAAAATGGGTCATGAGGTTTGTAACACACACAGGGAGGGAGGAGACTCATATGACAATATTAGATACCCCTTCCATCCTAAATTATAAAATATTTTTGAAAAAATTTAACATTTTCAAATATAAGATATTTTGAAAAAATTAAGGTTTTTATTAGATAAACTCATTTTAATATTATCATTTTTTATTTAATTTCCGTCCTTCTCTGTTTTCGATATATTAAATGAAAAGTATTTTTGAAGTTTATATTTTTTTTAAAAATATGATTGTTAAGTGTATTTAATGAGATTTATTGGTGTATAAGGTTTTGTCCATAAGTGTTTTATAATTTAGGATGGAGGGAGTTTTATTTTACAATTTCCAATATCAAAGAAAAACGTTTCTTTAATATAGTTTGATTGAACAATTTTGTTAACCAACACAAAAAATTTGAGTCTTTTTCTCCCACGTAAAATACATAATATTTTTATTGCCAACAAAACCAGAAACATAATATAAATATTAGTTAATGTGAATTCTATTTAAACATTATTGAGCATTGACATTTGACACAACCCCCGGGCTCAGGATTGTTTTCCTGAGAATGACCCTAACTTAATTATTACTATATCCGTCTTAAATTATAGAATATTTTTAAAAAAGTTTTTTATCCTAAAATATAAAATATTTTAAGGAGATTAAAATTTTATTAAATGTATCAATTTTAATATCACCCTTCCTTTTTCTATAATTAATTTTTATCTATGCTCTTTTCAATATATTATATGAAGAGTGTTTTTAAAAGTTTATATTTTTATTTTAAAAAGATAAAATTATTAATGTATTTAATAAAATTTATTAATATATTAAATTTTATTTAAAAATATTTTATAATTTAAGATGAAAGTAATAATACAAAGCATCTAATTAATTTGAAATTAGAAGCGAAAGAAGTGGAAGATCAAAACAATTAGACCCCACAATGTGAATGAAACAAAATAGGAAGGGAAATCTTAATTGAAAACCGAGCTTTAAATTAAAGAAAGATTTGGTATCATTGAAGGTGTTGAAGTCATTGATTATAGTACAAATTAATGATTAAGTTTACAAAAACTATAATGAGCCTCAAGCTACACAATACAATATTTTGTCCTGCATTTTTATTACAACAGTCTCCCATGACAGTTCTCATAATACTATTACTTTGATTGCGGTTATTTTTTGACATTTTTAGTTGAAATTAAAGACTTAGTGGTCAAGAAATAAAAGTTGGTCTATTAAGTAAAAATTTAATTTATAATTTATAAAATTATAGAATTAAATTTCACTATCGATATAATTAAAACTATAAAAACTCAGTTTAACTGAGTCAAAGCTTGTTCAAGGATTGAATTAATAATAGAAAAAAAAATTAAGGACTAAAAGTTATATTATCTTTTAGTTAAATTAATTAAAATGATGTGCATGATTCAACTCAAGACCGGTGATTAATCTTGCAGATATAAGCGTGTTTTCGCCTCCATCCCCACTTCATCTGACAAAATTAGTTTTTAATTGAGACAATTAAAGAAATTAAGCGTGCTCCAATAAGCATATTTGCTTACTAAACACTAAGAAAATTATTTTTTGGAGTCACCATCGCGTTCTTAATTCTAAATCAGAACGTACTGCACTAATCTTTGATTAATTGCGCAGAGTCCTTATAGAGTGACTATTTCAACACTTTAATTGCTAGCAAATTCATTGGATCTAACTGCGTGCTGAAGAATGAAAATAATTTATAAAATTTCAAATCTTATTTTATTTTTTCTTGCACGAAACCAGTTTTTTTTATATAAAAAAAATCATATATCGACATTATTTACTGAATGGATGAAGCACTACTGGACCTAAACTTTGTAAATTAACGATCAATTTCAGTACTTTAACTAAAATTTTCATACTCATATTATCCCAAACAAGTGCAAACAATTACACCGAAAGTGACATGCAACTATCAATGGGATTGGGCATAGTAAAATTGCAAAAAAGATTAATCTCTCATAACAATCAAAATTTAAATTTCAGTTAGGAGAAGTGTCCATTCTTGGTATCTGATGATCATATTTTAAATGAGATTGTCTCTAATAGAAAGATGTTTGTGTGATAAAAAAAGTGACGCAAATATAATTATAAATCATAAATAAGATAATAGTAATATGCCAATATTACAAAAACGCAAATAATGATTTTTAGCTTTTTTTTTATTTTTTCTAGACACGTATATCTTTCTATTGAAGATAATTAATCATGTTTAAAGTAAAATCAGATACTAAATATAAATATCTATTTGATCAAGAATTTAAATTTTGATTTGTCACATTATAAAAGACTAATCAATTTTATTAAATCCAAAACTAGTGGTGATTTTTTAGCGTATTTATTCGAATCTAGGGATGCAAAGAACTCAGTATATATTTATTTAATGACAAAAGGTGCTATGATGGGGGAAAGACAAGAATTTTTTTCGCAGATAAACTTTCACTTGGACCTTATAAAAAGGTACTGTTGCATTACACTATAGTTTATAATTTTGCTTTCAGTTATCGCTATTATAATGACACAAATGAGCTGTTGCGATGAGAACATAGAGACTATGGGGTCGTGCAAGATCCCCATTTTCAAAAGCTTAATCATTGAGAATAAAACAAGAAAATGACAAAACATTACCATTTTTTATTGCCCATTTTTTTTTAAAGAAAAAATCGTTCATGGTCCAGGCAATGCACAACCTCATCGAAATTTGAACAATATTATTAAAACATTATATGTATGTATGTATGTTTGTTGGTTGTGGCCCACTACAATAACCCAGGTCTTAATTAACCTTTATGCCTCTAATTTTCCTCATTTTTTAAGTCATTGGAGAATGGAGATAGCAATGCTGGCGGCATCCAATGCAGCAACATATAAATGTAATTCATAATTTGTTTATGTTCTTAAGATGTGATCACTGATCAGAGCTAGTGCTTAATTTTTTAATTTAAATTATTTTATGTTCTTGTGTTTGTTTGACCAAGGCCTCTGATCTATACTATCTAGAATTTGGAAGCCATGCACTTAGATATTTCATTCAATTTTGTTTTCATTGAAGTATTCAAGTTGTGTAATAGATTTCTTTGGCCTTGCATGGAATATTAACACCAAAAATCTCATTAATATTGAACTTTTTTTAACTCTATACTGTGGAGTGATATTGATATAATAAATGGATAAAATTGATATGGAAAGGATTACAAATAGATTTAAAGTGAGCGATCACGGTGGATGTCTTTGATGACATTATCAGCATTTTCGTTCATGATTTTTTTTAATGAAAATTTTTAAGAACTTTTAAGTTTAATTTGTGACAGTATCATCAATATATTTTGAAAGTGATAATGGCGATTATGAACTGAAAATGACAGGGGAGGCAAATTTTGTTCTCATTAAAGATACGATGGTTAATCTCAGAGAGAGAGAGAGAGAGAGAGATAGAGAGAGATTAGACCATATTGCCTTTTGTGGATGCAGAACCTTACATGATCTTATTTGTTTACACTTTAATTTCAAAGAACCGTGCAACACTGTCAGAAAATATCAGCTTTTTCAATAGCCTAATAGTTCAATGATAATGAAATGAACGATGCAAAAGAAACTATATTACTATATTTATAATAGTAACGCACAGCTTAATAGAAAACAAATAATAATTAAAGATTAGAGAAAAGCTTTTAAACATGCCTGCTTTGAGAGCTTAATCAATGCATCAATCATGTTGCTGTTACTGTAGAAACCAGACAAGACAAGAGAAAGTTTCTATTACTCATCATGCTAAACTAATCATACAGGAGAGATTAACTTTTTTTTTATTCAATTGTATATTTTTAAATTTGAAGTAATATTTTTTAAAGACAAACAGGTGTTATATTTTCTCAAGAAAATAACAAGTGGACTTCTCTCTCCCACTCTCTCTGTCCGTCCATCTCTCTTCTTTTTCTCTTTCTCCTTCCTGTCTTTGTCTTCCTCTATCTCTCCATCTATCTGTCTGTAATATACAAATGAGACTCTCTTTTTACATGGTTGCTTTTTTATTTTGCCCCTTTTTTCTGCTTACTTTACGAGAGATGAGAAAGGTGAGGATGGTATAATTAAGAAAAAAGGTTTTCTCAAGGAAATAAAACTTTGGTAAAAGCAAGAATTATAGCAATAAAGGAAGAAAGGAAAAGATTTTATTTTTCCCTTTCTTTTTTTCTGGGGCTGAGAAAGAGAACGGAGAAAAAGACAGAAGGTGCAACGTCAGAGTTAGCCGTAGGGTTACCCTTGGGCTGTGGTTTTAGGCATTGTTTTGGACTGAGGGAATCCTCCTTCTAATCCACATCTCTCTCTCTCTATCTCTATCTCTGAGAGTTCAGCTTCAAACCACTGGGTCTGTATTTTTGTTCATATTTGTGTGGCTATCCTTGGATTTTCTTGGTATTATCAAGCATGGTTTTCTAACCATGAAGGAGAAAAGCGGCTAAGCTACAGGCTACATATAGACCTTCTGCTTCTTCAGCTTCCAGTTTTTTCTTTATCATCTCTCACTCTTGTTTCTTCTGCTCTCTCAAAAACTAAACCTTGTCTCCTGGCTTGGTGCCAAACAAACAGGAAACAAACACCATCAAGGTTTTATCGTTGGAGGATAATTATTTGCTCGCGCGCTCGCTCGCTCGCTCCAAAGAGTTACTATTTTTTAATCCACTTCTTTTCCTTCTGGGATTTCAAAGACTTTCTGTGTAGAAAAATTTCCCCTTTTGTTCTCCCCCCCCCCCCCAACAACCTCTCTCATCAAAGTATATGCAGAATCTTATAGCAGTGTATCTTTTCCTTTTTTCGGTTTTGAGTGAGGGTTGTATGTCCTTAGATCCTAAAAAGTCATATAACATAGGAGAAACCAAGATCTATATGGCCAATAACACAAGCTTCGGATCCAAAAAATTCCTGGCATAAGAAAATATGATGAAGGGTTTGATGTTTCACCAGCAACAGCAACAAGTAGTGGAAGAAAACATGTCTAATTTGACTTCTGCGTCCGGTGAGGCCAGTGTTTCCTCAGGCAATAGAAACGAAATTGGTACCAATTATCCTCCTCAACAATACTTTGCTTCAACACCATCTCAAGCTCAGCCACAAGTGAAGAAAAAGAGAAACCTTCCCGGCAATCCAGGTTTAATACATACCTTGTTCAAAACTCCAAACAAGGAAATCTCATTTCTTTTTGAGTTCGTTGTTTCAATCAAGTGTCTTTTATCTTGTTTTTTGATGTTGGGTTTTCAATTGTTCAGACCCGGATGCTGAAGTGATAGCCTTGTCTCCCAAGAGTCTGCTGGCAACAAACAGGTTCATCTGTGAGATCTGCAACAAAGGGTTTCAAAGGGACCAGAATCTTCAACTTCACCGGAGGGGGCACAATTTGCCATGGAAGCTGAAGCAGAGAACAAACAAAGAGGTGAGGAAGAAGGTGTATGTGTGCCCAGAAGCCACGTGCGTGCACCATGACCCAGCAAGGGCACTTGGGGACCTTACTGGGATAAAGAAGCACTTCTGCAGAAAGCATGGAGAGAAGAAGTGGAAATGTGATAAGTGCTCCAAGAGATATGCAGTTCAATCAGATTGGAAAGCTCACTCCAAGACATGTGGCACAAGAGAGTACAGATGTGACTGTGGAACCCTCTTCTCAAGGTAACTAACTAACCTATCCAAGATCACTCTTCTATAGGAATAACAATAGTCAGCTACAGACAGACATCTATCTATCTTCATTTATGATTTTCATGGGATTTGAAGTCTTCAATCCGAGGTTGACCGATCGAAGTGAATTAATCCACGTATATCTTCTTTTCGGTATTTGAATAATAAATTCACATTCTTTATCCCTTAACTTTGGACAAAATGATGATATAATTATGATGCACACTAGAACTATGGGTGCAGATACTGGAAATTTTTAGAAGATGTAATGAAAAGTTTTTAATGCAATACCTAATGTGAACAATCTGCCTTTAAAGCACTCTCAGAGAGGAATAAAAAAGGGCGTCGAAGCGCGCAGAGAGAGAGAGAGAGAGAGAGAGAGAGAGAGAGAGAGAGAGTGTGTGTGTGTGTGTGTGTGTCATATATTCATTCTTTATCCCTTACATTGGACAAGATGATAGATGATCATGGTACACTAGGCAAGAGATCCAGAAACTGGGAATTTTTGGATCGATGAAAAAGTCCTTGAAGTGTGAAAAAAGGTGGAAATGTAGAGAGAGAGAGAGAGAGAGAGAGAGAGTCAATGCTTTGTGGGACTGTCATATAAAGCACTTGCCAGTGTGGTGAATATAATTTCTCATTTTGTAATTTTGTGTGTTGTTTAATGGCCTTTTTAGGAGAGACAGTTTCATAACACACAGGGCCTTCTGTGATGCATTGGCAGAGGAGAGTGCAAGAGCAAACCCACTTGTTCCCTCTCAAACACCCAGTTCTTCATCATCAGCATCTCACATACTGAATATCCAAACCCAGCTCAACAATAATCCCCATCATCTCCATTCTCTACAACTGAAGCAAGAGCATCAACAAAGCTTCAACCTCAGGCCAGAAATACCTCCTTGGCTAGCCTGTCCTCCTCCCCCTCTAGCTCCTGGTCCATCCACCACTGATCTCTCATCCCCATCATCATCTTCAATGTTCACCACAAGATTCGATCGGGACTTTTCACGAGCACCTCACGGGCAAGATCTGAGCCTCCATGAAAACCCTAACCCTACTAACCTTGGCCCCACCCTCCCTTCTGCTTACCAACCAGCGCCTTCCCCGCACATGTCAGCAACAGCCTTGCTGCAGAAAGCAGCCCAAATGGGTGCAACCATGACCAAAACTGCACCCATGACCAAAACTGGCTCTTCCAATACAACACCAGCCATGATTAGGACCCACCACCAGACTCACGTGCCTCATCCTGCTTCTGACTCTGCTGCCACCAATTCAATCTCAAGTAGTGGTCATTTTGGTTTGAATTTGTCATCACGTGAATCTGCAGTGCTACTCCCTCCTTCTGCTCCTTCTGCTACTACTGCTGCTGCTGCTGCTTCTTCCTCAGGTGTTCCTCCTCCTCCTCCCTTTCTTCTTCACGATGTTATGAGTTCTTTCTCTGCTACTTCTGGCGGGTTTGAAGGAACGTCTTTTGAGGATGCGTTTGGTGGGATTTTGAACTCGAAGAATAAAGATGAAAGCTTTCTTGATACCCTTAAAAAGACGACCACCCCCGTCGGCCATCTCAGTGGCGCCGCCGATGACGGTGGTGGGAAAGAAGGTTTGACGAGAGATTTCTTGGGCCTTAGACCTCTCTCTCACAACGAGATTCTCAGCATTGCTGGAATTGGGAACTGCATGAACCCCACCACCTCCCATGATCAACAGAATCAATCCCAAAACTCATGGCAAGGTTAGCTCCTACATATATATTTATATATATATATATATGTATGGATATTTTCTTCTTTTTCTCATTAATATATAATTTGAATTTTTCTTCAATATTTTATTTTATCTGTCAATCTTCCCAAAGGGAAGCAGGAGTAGAAACCCTTCACTATCTCAAGATTTTCATTCCTTTAAGCGAAGTTATTTTTAAAGTAATTTTCTTCATTTCAGTGTTTGCACGTAATTTCACATTCTGTTTATAGATTAACATAAAAAGCCTAAATTATGATGCTCTCTTCCTCAAACATTTGCAGTAGGTTAAAAAAAAAAAACATTTGCATGAGTTGTTTGTTACCAATAGACACAAAACCCATAATATATAGTCGATTTAAATAGTAAAAATAAGTCTCATTTGTAAAGATGATACTCCTTTTACTATATAGTATATACTACGATACAACACGCACTAGAAGATTAAATGATTAAAAATATTTATTATTTGTGGATTTGTGCATACGGTGAATAAAAGATATTTATTATATATGTTTTGTCGTCCTGTTGGATTTGATATAATATATAAAATATCAAATAATACAAGCACTTCGTTGGGAAGTGCGATCGGAGTAACATAAGCAGTCCTTGTCACTGGTCTTCTCTCAAAATTTACGCTGAGGAGAGCAGATTGACAATGACGCCATTGAGTTATAGCCGTAAATAAAATACATAAATTAATTAATCAAGCTGAGATTAATGGAACGAAACTGACCTAAAAGAATTTGAACAAATAAATAGTTAGATTGTTTAATTACAATTAAATTAAAGACTAATGAAAATTTCAATTCGCTTTTTAGGCCATAATATAAAAATAAAATACAGTCTTCACTGTGGTGAGAAGGTAATAGTTTCGCCGTGCATGCATTTGGGCGTTCAAGTTAGTTCTCTAAATTCTAATTTAGGATTATGCGTGGAAAGTGGAAGCTCCCTAAGGAGTAGGCCCTTAATCAAATTTTCATGTTAAAACATTTTTATTACATCTTGCTTTTTTCTACAAAAAATAAGTTTGTATTTAATTTTAATTTTTGAATCGTTCAAATTAAATGTAAATGAATTTTAAAAGTTAAATAAAACACTTCTTTTTCAATAATGTTTGTGTCGTTAATTTAAGGTACTCCCCCTAGCCTTTAATATAAAATAAAACTAATTCTGCACTTATTAAAAAATATTAGTTATATATTTAAAATTGTTAAACAATATGTGTAAGTTTTTAATTTTACCTTTATTTAAAATTAATAATTATAATAGATTAAACCATGATAAATAAATAAAAAGTAAAATTAAAAAAATAATCATTCTGACTTTTCTTATATTAAGGGGGAAAAACTTTTAAAGTTTGTCTTACTCTATACTAAGGACCAACGGAAGAGGTGAGCATTGATAAAGCCATTATAGTATGATAAATTAGGTGAACCTGATAATCAAGTGGCTTTCAGGCAAATAACAATAAAAAAGAAGTGGCTCAAAAGCATCATATATATTCATAAGAATTTTTCGTTAAATGACTCAACTTGTACAGATAATAATATTTCCGCTCCCTCCCCCTTATTTCTCAACGCTGGGCATTTGTTATCAAAGTTCAAAATAATATTCAAGACAGTATTTGAACGAAGTTTGTTGATGAACGGTGTGTGTGTGTGTGTGTGTGTGTGTGTGTGTGTAAGACTTGTGTTAATAGCGTATGACCACAGAGTAAACGTAATTTACCATATAGTTAACCTAACCTTCTAATGACATACACTAAGCCTTATTTTAACTTTATTTAGTAAGATTAAACTTAAACACAAGCTGTATCTATCCGTTTGAGTAGTTGACACGTGTAAATTAACGCAAAACCTAAGCTTTCTTTCTCTTCTTGCCATCACTGATTATTAGTCATTGCAATTTTGGCGAACTCAAAATGTATGTTTATATATATATATATATATATATAGTTAGAGCTTAGTTCATTAAATAATAAATACGTTAGGTAGTGACAATATGGGTAAAAGATACTTTGGTCTTCGTCAACACGTTGAACCCCACTTGGTCTCCCTCCATATAGACACATGCAAACATCGCAACCTAACCACACAATACACATGGAGGCAACCTTTGTTTTTTTTGTTATTTTTTAAAGAATGATTCTATGTACCTATATTATTCAAACTAATACTATTGTCAGTCAAAAACGTATAGCAGCCTCAACCAATAAATTATTTTCAATTCCATGCCTGTAACTATAGCTATGAAGTTACCACAACATTGATTGATAATCAAAAATGTGTGGCAGAGTTCCATGATACATGGGAATCTGCAAACTGCAATTAAAAAAAAAAAAATTCTCAGAGGGATATGTAATTAATTAATGAAATGCATATATTGACTGGTTTTTATGCATATAATATAGTATGACGGGGACTGAAAGATTAAAGAAGATCTTATTTTTTAAAACAAGTTTACTGCCGTTAGGTTTTATGTTGAAAATTAGAGTGTGGATAACGTTAATACCAGTCCTGCAGTCCTATTCACTCTTTCTTTCTCCTCCTTCATGCATGTATGGCTATGCTCCAAAATTAATTTAGTCAAAGAAAGCAAATGGTCAAATAGATACTAACAAATGTCAGTACACTTAATAATGATTTGACTCATAAATTATAGAGTTATAAAATAAAATTTCACTGTTAATATGAGAACTTTGCTAGTTAGTTATTTGTAAGTATACATATAAATGCTCTTTGAGTGTAACGGCATGCTCTATTTTTGGTTAAAACCAAACTTACTTAAACTTAAAATAAAAAAAGAAGAAAATATGTGGACGGTGAGTCAACGACTCTCTCTCTCACACGTCTTAAATAAAATTATTTTATATTATTACTTTATTCATATTTAAAAATTTAGTATTTGTGTAGAAATAACCCTTATGATAAGTCTTTTTATAATTTTATTTTTACATTATTATTAATTATTGATGATGAAGAGCATTATATATAAAACCAATAATTCAGACCAAGTTGATGGACTAACTTGTATAAATTCAAAAAACAATTTTAGGATTGGAATTAAGAGTTTAAGATTTTTTTCTTTTTTACCCTGGGTCGCCGGATAATCCCAAATTTTTTTATATGTCCAAATATTTTAAATATGGAAAGGATTAATCTAGCTGACCTAAATTACGGGCTCCTTGTTACTCATGAACTCCCTGCCTGTGAAGCGGCGAACTACAGGAGTGGAGTTGTTCATGGAGGCAAATCCAATCTCAATACATACTTATTGAAATGGGCCGTTCATTTGAAACTCACCTAATTACTCTTGCTACCTGGATTGGTATTATGTAAGAACGAGTGTTCATATGTTTTTTCTTAAAAATAAAAAAAAAGAAAAAACATACCTTTTAATTCATACACTTTGCTTTTATTTTACTACAAGTCCCTGTATATTTTTTGATATTTTGAGTCTCTGCACTTTCATTTTTTAATGTTTTAGGTTTCCAAATGAATAAAGTGTAAAGACTTAAAACACCAGAAAATGAAAGTATAATGACCTAGAACATTGAAAAAAGTTGCATGGATCTATAACAAAACACGAGCAAAGTGCAAAGACCAAAATATATGTTTTTTCAAAAAAAAAAGAAAAAGAAAAACAAGTTAGAATACCTTTCTTCTTCTCTTCAAGGTCAATAGTGTTTTAGTGTGAACAAAAGCATTGTGTTATTCCTCAATCAAAACATTCTTAACTTTGAGAGAAATTACCATCTGTTGGGGTGGCAAGATATTTCTGATGTCTGAAAAAGTGGGAAAAAACTTCAATGAAAAAGAGTTTTCAAAAGAAAGAATACATTATTGTCTTACATGAAACGTCCAAGATGATTATCCATTCAAGTTTTGTTTAATTAAGCGATACTTCCCCGTGAAGCAATCAATTTATTTCTCAGCTATTGATGATAAAGTTAATCATTACTATGTAATAAATATTTAAGTCATTATTTTTTCTTTTTAATCATTGTGTTTATAAGTCACTTCTAATATATTCTATCTAAACTTTAATCAATTTTTAATTTTATTCCTATTAAATATGCGTACTCTTTTTTCATCAATATTTAATAAAAGGTAAAAGGAAAAAATTGTGATAAAAAAATATGATTTGACTTATAGATATAATAAAAAAAATTTTCTCTTTACCTTATAAATAAGATTGAAAAGAATAGAAATCAATATTTTACTTATTACAAGTTAATACATTTTTAAATTTTACATAACAAGTTCATCAAGTATCTTTATAAACATTATTTGAGTCCAAAAGCATGTCCGAATATAAATTTTCGGCTTAATAAAAAAGAAAAGGATTCATTCCTTACTCACAAGTAATGAATTTCTTATCAAGAACCCCTTGATTCAATGGCATATTACATTTCTTCGGGGAAAAAAATTGTGGATTCTATTACTATGTGATTTAGGGGGAATATTATTAAATGTGCGTGTAGTGTGGGTGTGTTTGCGTTTATATGCCGGGGAAGGGGTTGCTGGGACTTAGGATACTCAACAGAGAATGAATTTCCTGGAAAAACCGACAGAAAATGAAAGTTTTGTTTTTTAGTCAAAGACATTGACAAGTCTTCCAAGTGCGTGTGAAAATTTCACCTTAATGGGCCTGCCTCCTCCTAAAAATTACAGAGCACTTTGGTACCATAATTTCCTCTAAACTTATAGGAAGTTACGTAGAAGAAGAACACCTTCAAGTTCAACATGATTATTTTCTTGCCATGATTATGCTGGCATCTCACAATTCCACTCTTTCCTCTGTTTGGTCACTGTATGTGGTTACTTTTCTTCTTGGTGGTGCGTGCCTCAACTTTTTCAGAAGATTTCTCAACTAACCGCTCTCTTCAGCAAGAGTCACAGAAGATCTCCTCCCATTCAAGCGTCTTCTTCTGTTCGGCCGGGTTTACTTCTTATCTCAATTTTGTTCTTGCTTTCTGCAGCTGCAGGTATATATATATATATATTTTGACCTTCCCCTTTCATATAATTGTCATTTCTTAGCTTGTTAAATTTTAACTCTGTTTGCTGTTAGAGATTTCTTCAGACTCTATACCTTCACATTCTTTGAAATTTTCTCAAGTAAACGCCTCCTTTGAGAAGAGTTTCATAAGATCTCTGTCCAGCCAAGCGTGCTCCTCATTTATAGTTCACTGTTTATATCTGAATTTTGAACTTGTTTGTTTTCTGGGGTTTCAGGTATATACATTTTTGTTTTTGAACATCTCTTTTGTTTTCCATGTCTATCTTCTCGCTAATTATTAGTTTAATAATTATTCTTCCATGCTGTATTGAGATCATAATGGCTAACCGAGAAAAGTATGTGGTTGATGTTGCTTCTGCTTCATCTGAAAAAATGTGCTTACGTCTTCAACACCAGATTTCCCAACAAATGTATCCAAATAGTACAGCCCAAGAAACTTTTCTAGTGACATTATTGCATGCCTCGTTACTGAAGTTCCAATGAAGCCAATCCTCTCTGTTGAGGCTTTTGATAATATATCCTAATAGTTTGGATTAACCAAGCAAGTCACCTCTCTTGCAGACAGAACGTATATATGAGAAACTGATTGTGTAAAATGGTGGCGTAATTGCCTCTCTTCATTTATTATTATTTATAGTTAGGGCATTAAACCCTAGAGTAAAAGAATTAGATAATGCCAAGTACAGGTGTTTACAAAAATAACACAGGCCCACAACTGAAATAGGTCCAGAACAAATGAACTAATGTATGAAGACTAGACCTAAGTATATAGGTTGTAGTTGGGCTTAACACATAAGGCCTTATTTGTCTTAACAAGCCCCCGCAAATGAGGGATGGGCAATCTTTGAATCTCGAGTTTGCTTCAAAAGTCCAATAGCTTCATGTGTGAGAGAGCTTTAGTGAAGATGTTACCCAGTTGTTCATAAGAGGGAACATATCTGACAGACAGCTAGCTTGCAAGTACATGGTCACGGACAAAGTGAACATCAAGTTCAATGTGCTTTGTCTTGGCATGGAAGACTGTGTTCAAGGTTAGGGCAGAAGCAAAAAGATCATCGTACCAAACAATCGATGGTTCTCTAAGATGGAGGCTAAGTTTGACTGTGAAGGACTGAATCCAAGCAAGCTCAGATGCTAAATCAGCAAGAGCACGATACTCGGATTCGGCGCTAGAGTGAGTAACAACCTTCTATTTTTGGCTAACTATGAAATCAAGGAGTCACCAAGAAAGATACAGTATCCACCAACAAATCTTCGATCATCTACATAGATGGCCAATTGGCATCAATGAAGCCCTGTAAAGTAAGATGATTACTTGGTTTAATATGTAAACCCAAATCTGACGTTCCTTTAAGGTATCTTAGAATTTGCTTTAAGGCTTGCCAATGAATTGATATTGGAAAGCTTAGAAATTAACTGAGTTTGTTTATTGCAAACATGATATCTGGCTGTGTCTGGATCAAGTATTGTAGTGAGCCAATAATCTGTCTGTAAGTGGTAGGATCTTTAAGTAGTGTACCATCATATTTTGGATAGTACCCGTTGACTACTAAAAGTGTTGGAACAAGGGTAGATTTAGACATACCAGAACGTTCAAGAATGTTTTGGATATATCTTTCTTACTTAAGATAGAGGCTAGTATCATCTCTGAAAGCTTCAATTCCTAAAAAATGATGTAGTTGACCGAGCTCTTTGAGTGCAAAGATCTTGTTAAGCTATTTGATAAACAGATTCAGAGCTGCAAAGGAGTTGCCTGTGACTATGATGTCATCCATGTATATTAACACAAACATAACAAGTTTGTTCTATCTGTAGAAAAAGAAGGAAGTGTCATTTTTAGAATGTAAAAATTCCTAGCTCAATAAGGTTGTTTGTAGCTTGTCAAACTAAGCTCAAGGAGCTTGTTTTAAACCATAGAGTGCTTTCCTTAAAAGACAAACATGATTTGGAAATTAAGAGTAATGAAACCATCTGGTTGTCTTATGAGTACTTGTTCTTGTAAATCACCATTTAGAAAGGCATTATTGATATCCAACTGACGTATTTACCAATTAAATGTATTAGCTATGGCGAGAATAAATTTGAGTGTAGAAGCTTTAAGAACTGGACTAAAGGTTTCCTCAAAATCAATGCCTGGGCTTTGTTGAAAGCCCTTTGCCACCAATTTGGCTTTGTGCTTCTGAAATGACCCATCTACATTATATTTCCTTTTGAATACCCATTCGCAGTCAACCAAGTTTCATTAACTAGTGAAAGGAACTAGTACCCAGGTTTTATTAAGAATCAGGGCATTATATTCATTCTGCATTACTTTCCTCCACTCTTTTGATTTTAGAGCTTCTGTGACACTTCTAGGCTCAGATTTATCATCTTATATAGTTAGAGTCATACCAACATAGGGTACCTTAAGTTTAGAGATTCCAGCCTTACTTCAAGTAATCATATGATGTTGGTTTGCTAGAATAGCTTGTCGAATTTGTTCTAATGAAGACTTTGATATTTGTTGAGTTATTTGATTCTCTACATGTGACTTATGACTTATAAATTGATTTTTAATGTTTGTATCAGGTGTTGCAGCAGTGGAAATGTCATGTAGAGTAGTAGAACTCAAAATCTCTAGTGAAGTTGGTGACAAGGATGACACATTACTGTCATGTGGAGCTGCAAAAACTTCATGAATGCATTTTCTATCTACCAAGGCAAGTGTTGGTTTGAAGAAGGCTTTTGGATGAAATTGCTCTTCAGGTATGACCTTTTTATTTATGAAACTTGTAGCAAAAGGAAATCCTCCTTCATTAAACACAACATGTCTTGAAATATACACTTTGCTAGTAGGACTTAGACACTTATAGCCTTTATAAGCATTATTGTATCCTAGAAATACATACTTGGTAGATCTAAACTCAAGTTTGTGTTGATTATAAGGTCTAAAACAAGGGTAGCAAGCAAAGCTAAAAAATTTGAGTCTGTCATAATCTAGATATTTGCCAAGTAAATGAAAATGAGATGAAACATCACTTAAAATAGGGGTTGGCAATAGGTTGATAAGATTAGTAGCAGTTGTAAATGCTTCCCATTAGTAGAATAAAGGCATTTTTGATTGAGCTAATAGTGTTTGACCCATTTCTATGATGTGTCTATATTTTCTTTCAGCTCTACCATTTTGAGTTGAAGTATATGGGCAAAAGTATCTAAATTGAATTCCTGTATCTTGTAGTTCCTTAGTGAAGCTTTTGGATTTGCCTCCCCAGTCACTTTGAATCATTTTAATCTTGCAATCAAACTGATTTTCAACCGATTTCTTGAACTGTAAAAACATATTAAAGGCTTGATCTTTGGATTTTAATGGATAAATCCAAGAATATCTACTATAGTCATCAACAAACAGGATATAGTATCTAAACCTATTCATAGAAGTTATAGGAGATGGCCCTCATAGGTCAGTGTGTATTAGTGTAAGTGGCTTAGTGGCATGTGAGATAGAAATTTTAAAGGGAAGTGAGTGTGATTTTCCATATTTGTATGGTTCACCAAAAACATCTTCATTCTTAGAAACCTTTAAGTTACAATCAGTAATAACTCTGTTCAGTACCCTAGTATTAGGATGTCTAAGTCTATAATTCCATAAAATTCTACTAGAATTAAACTTGCTAAATGCTGAATAGTTAGCTTCTTTAACCGTAGCAAAAATCAGCTTTACTTCACCATCATGACTGTTCTTACTAATGCGAAACATGCCACCTTCACTTGGTTTCCCTTTGAGAATTGTCTCCCTTGTCTAATAATCCTTCACAGAAATACCATGTTTATTAAACACAACATTAGCATTATTGTCATTTGCCACTTTATAGACACTTAATAGGTTCTTTTTAATCATGGGAGAGTAGAGTACATCCAGTAACTTGATTGGTTTATGAGGCATAGCTAGAATTTTAATAGATCCTATCTTTTCAATACTTAATTTATCACTATTACCAATAATAATATTCATCTTACCAGTAGGATTAATAGCATTTTCAAGTTGGGTTACATCATTAGTGACATGACTTGTTGCTCTACTATCAAGATATCATACATCATCATTAACGGTTTCAGGCATAGCCCAATAAGCTGCATTCACATCATGATTAGAACCATAATTTAAGCTATTAGAGCCAACCACATTTTGAGTATTTTTGTGTCGAGACTAAATAAAGCTTCTGTCATAACGACAGAAGCATGTATCCACTTGGTGACTAAATTTTTCACAAAGTTGACAATTATAATTTTTATAACTATTAGAGCCATGATTTGTTCTACCCCTACCATGAAAATTTCTAAAACTACGGCCACTATGCCAAGCACGTGGTGTAGATGATTCAGTTCTAGCCAAGTTGACTAAAGTATTAGACAAAGAGAGGTTAGAAATCTGATGAAGTTGATCTAAGCGACTCTCATAAGTTAATAATTCAGCCTGAAATTCAATCTTCATAAGCTAATTGAATTACTACAAGATTATAATCAGCATCAAGTCCAGCAAGAACTTGTATAATAAGATCAAAAAGTGATACAGAGTTACCAACTATAGATAACTATTCTGATAGATTTTTCATTTTGGCTAAGTAATCTACCATTTTCATTGTCCCTTTCCTTATGTGTTGTAGATCTACTTTGAGCATCAAGACTCGAAGCTTAGTTTGTGCTCCAACATGTTGGAGTGCTACCTCCCATAAACTAATAGATGTTGAGACGATGGTCATCTGGGAAGAGATATCAAGGTGCATTGTATTCAACAACCACTTAAACAAGAGTTGATCTGCAGCTACCCAATCTTCAAATTCTGGGTTTAATGTTGTCACATTGTTTTCTGTGATAAATTGAGGGGGACACTTGTTTATGCCATAGAGAAAGCCCTCAAGTTTGTGACCCTTAATAATAGGCAGAATATGAATATGCCAGATTAGGAAATTTGTGCCATCCAGCTTGATGGCACATGGCTGATTCATGCCATTTGAACCTTCAATATTTTTTGGGAGGTTATTTGCTAAGAGTAGAGAGTTTGAAGCAGACCCAAGAGAGCTACTGTTGCTGTGAGAAGCATTTAAAGTTTCTATGGTAATTAACCTTGTAAAGCTCTGATACTAAAAATGTAAATATGAGAAACAGATTGTGTCAAATGGTGGCGCAACTGTCTCTCTTAATTTATTATTATTCATAGTTAGGGCACTGAACCCTAGAGTAAAAGAATCAGATAAATGCCATGTACAAGTATTTACAAACCTAACATAGGCCCATAACTAAAATAGGTCCAGAACAAATAAACTAATGTATGAAGCAACTGGACCTAAGTATATACGCTGCAATTGGACTTAACACATAAGGCCTTATTTGTCTCAACATGGACAAGGGGCAATCTTGAAGCAAGTGGAGTGCATCTTCCTTCCTTCCACATCCTAGAGGGTAGAGATCTGACATAACCAATCCTCTTCTCCCACAAAGCTCTGTAATATGAATACTATTTTCTCAAAAGTAGCCATAACAGGACTTTAATCTTCTCAAGACCTATGCATCTTCATATTTTACTCTAAATTGGATCAATTGCTCAGCTAGTACCTATAAGGAAAGCATAAGCAAAATGAACATTAAAGTTTCCATCATTAGATTGTTTCCAAATAAATTTATCCTCTCCTCTTTCAACTCTCGGGGCAGGAGTGTGATTAATATTGTGAATTACATGACTTGGTAACCATGACCCCATTTTTCTTACATCCAATCTCCCCTCTTAGTCAGCCAGATCAACCACCTTCTCATTAGAATCAAAGGAAGTGTCAGTAGCCAAGTGAAATAAGGGTTGGTCACAAGTAGACCAATTATTGATCCAAAAATAAATGCTAACACCATTCTCAACTTTCCCGACGCCTTTCACAAAGTCATCCCAGCAACTAACAATACCATGTCAGGTTAAATAGGCGTTGCCTTTACACACAACTTTGAGCACCCTTTAATTTCCGTACTTCATTTTCAAAACTCTTACCTATAAAGCATTGTTATTATTCAACAATTTTCAACTGAGTTTGAAGACAAAGGCTTTATTTTGCTTCAAAAGATCCTTCACTCCCAAGCCCTCATCCTTTTTTTTCTTTAATCAAATCAACCCAAGGTGCCAAATGGAGTTTCTGTTTGTCAACTTCATTGCCCCAAATGAACCCCGGACATAGTTTCTCAATTTCTACCAACTTCTTCTTCAGAAGTAACATGGGTTTGCATATAATAGCTAGGCAAGGTAGAAATAACAGATTTTATAAGAGTGGCTCTTCTCGCAACATTCAAGAAATCCCTCTTCCAGCTAGACATTTGTTTCCTTGCTTTTTCAAGGATGGGGAAAATAGGTTAAAAGAAGTTCTCTTATGAATCAAGGAATACCTCAATATTTTCCCAAGTCGCCTGCAAGACCCACCTGAAATCTCCTATTCAGGTCAAAAGCTCTATTAAAATGGACATTCTTTAGGCAATACATTTTTGTTTTGGATCTGTTCAATTCTTAGCAAGAAAAGTGGCAAAATAACTCAATACAGTTATTAAGAACCTGTCATCAAAGAAAAGATGCATGTGTGATGTCAAGACCATCCTTCACCAGTCTAATCGGTCTCCACCTCTTCTCATGTACAGCATCTTGTATTATGACTCCGGCGCTCCTTGCCCAGAGCAAAGATGGCAAGTATGAAAACAAAACTGTCAACGTAGATGATAGCCCTAATATGTGAACACAACGTTTGGTTGAAATAATTAAAAAACCAGAGAAATGACTTTGACTAATCTTAAGTCACTTAATATAATTCGACTAATTTAATTTTAAAATAGATGTTCCATTGTCACAAGCCAAATAATGAGTATTAACATCTTTCGTATTCATGCACTCTACGCATGCCCTCATCACTTCCAGGATTTTTTTTTTTCTTTTCCTCCTATCTTAAATTTAATTAACAATTCACCTCAACATCCCCCACAATCTTTAGTCTTTTTTTTTAAATCATTAATAATTGGTTAACTCAGATTCCAACTTCCAAGAAATAAATCACAAGATATTAGACAATTACATGGACTTTTCAAAGTTTCTTCTCCCCAATTTTCTTTATCTTATGAGGAGTTTCCTAGGAGGCCAAACAATTTCTGCAACAACATAAAATCATAATCAATAAAATCATTAGTATAGATTATTTAAAAAAATTAATAATTTACTCTGTTGATAAATTGTTAATAATGTATTCATTTCTCAAACCTTGTGCAATACTGCCCCAATTTTTAAATATAAGAGAAATCAGGTGTCTCTTTATTTGTTTATAAGCATAATTATAAATTTCAAAAAATATTTATCATATTTTGCTCGAATTGTCTATCATAAAGTCAATGTTTACTTTTATTAGACAAATTTGTTTCATTAATTATAGAATCCAAATTTTTTAACTTCAAAACATGATTTGCAATTAACTTATTAATTGGAACGGTACGATAGCAAATATGAACTCATTCTTTTGTACGACGTATGATCAGTTTTATCTCTATTAGTTGGACTAATTTTTAATGGGCCTATGACTACTTAAAATATATGCATCAATTTTTTTTTTAAATGAAAAGAAAGGATGAGATTAAAAAGAAAAAGGAATTAAAACCTCAAACGGTCATATATGTATATACACAGGCATCGAAAAGTTTAGCATTGTGAGAGTGGGACTTGTGGGTTGTCTGTTCAGGAGGTGAGAAAAGTCAAGCGGCTGAAAACGGCAGATCCTTCGCTGGCTATTGAGCTGGCCGAATTATCGGCTCTGCTCTTAATCCCATGAAGTTGAAATTTTTAATATGGTAAGAATGAAAGCCAGGCTGTCAACATAGATTGGTAGATCTGATAGCCCTAACATGTGAACACAACGTTAGGTAGGGGAAAAAAAACAAAAAACCAGAGTAGACTACTCTTAATTCACTTAATTTAATTCAACTAATTTAATGACCAGTTTTGTTGATTCTTTTGTTGATCAGAAGAGAACTGTTATTGGTTGACTGGTTTATGGCCTTTATTTGTTTTTGTTTGTTTGTGTTATTTTCTGGTTTAAGTGTGTGTTAAGTTGTATCTTAAGTTTTTTTTTTTTTTTCATTTTTTATTTTTGGCTTTGATTATTGGTGATTGTGTACTTCTTTTGATAATTAATAAAACTGACTCTTTTTGGCTAAAAAGAAAATTAACTAATTAATTTAATTTTAAAATAGATGATCTATTGTCACAAGCCAAATAAGGAGGCCTTTTTTTTTTTTTGGATGAAAAGAGGAGAATTAATATTCAATAGAAATAAAACAGTACAAAAGCACGAGATATTAGACAATTTAATTTAATTAACAATAATATTCACGTCTTTCTTATTGATGCACTCCGCATTCCGTCATTTTCAGGTTTTTCATTTTTCCCTACTTTAAATTCAATTAATAATTAACCTCAATATCCCCACAAAATTTGGTCTTCTTCTTCTGTTTTTTTAATCGGATAGTTCAGATTCCGACTGCCGAGAAATAAATCACGAGATCTTGGACAATTGACATTGACTTTTCAGAGTTTTTTCCCCCCTCCCCCAATCTTTATCTTTCTATATCAAATATATGAGTATAAGGAGTTTCCTAGATGGCCAAACAATATTGCAACAACATAAAATTATAATCAATATAATCATTACTATAAATTATAAAAAAATTCAATAATTACGATCTGTTGATAAATTGTTAATGTTATGGCTCAAAAAAAAAAAAAGATAAATTGTTAATGTTAATAATGTATTCATTTTTCAAACCTTTTGTCATATATCAAACGGACTTACAGTTTTTGAATAAAACTGCTATAATTATGAGATTGGACAAATTTTTTCAGTTCGTAATAACGAAGTGTAAGATTAATGAATTTTCATAGCTAAAACATTAAAAAGCACAAAATTGGCTAAATTATAAAAAGTAAGAATGAAAACTTTGCACGTTCATATGCGCGCGCCTATAACTAGGCATCGAACAAGTTTAGGATTGCAAGGTGGGGCTTGTGGGTTGTCTAGGATTCAGGAGCAGAGTCACGACTGAAAATGGCAGATCCTTCGCTGGTTATTGAGTTAGCAAGGCAGGCTTGGAAGATAGTTGAGAAGGGTCTCGAGCATGAAACCACAGCTCGAAGCTTCGGGACCATGCAGGACGAACTGCTTCCAATGCTCGCAGATATTCAAGAACTGGCCAGGAAGATGGATCTCCGACCTGAAGAAATTCAGAGTCTTGAGAGGATCATGATACTGATGCGAGAGGCTCGTCTTAAATACTCCAAAATCGAATGCCGGAATTGCTGCCTCGCGCCTTGTTACAAAGAAGAACTTGACAGAGCAGACCAGTCCATTAAAGATTTCATACAGGGCAAACTGGCGGTGCAGACGGCGAGAACTGTGATGGAAATCCGACACCACCAACTCATGACTACGGAACACGTTAGGCGTCCAAAACCTTTAAAGGCTGATCTTGAATCATTGCCAGACTTCACAGTAGGATTGGATGGTCCCCTGATGAACAAATTGAGGTCTGACCTCATCAGGGACGGTCGTGATCAGGTCTTTAACTTGACTGGTTTTGCCGGCACCGGGAAAACCACCATGGCCAAACTGCTCTGTTGTGATATGCAAGTCCGAGGTATCTCTCTCTCTCTCTCTATATATATATATATATATATGTATATATCTATAACCTCCTCTTCTTTAATCTCGAGCTGATCCTCTGTCCTGTCTGAATCAAAAAATGTTGGTGGGTCTGATCACGATGTATGCAGGGTGGTTCGACGACAATATCCTGTTCGTGTCTGTAGGTTCAGAGATTGAAAGCAGAGGAGATGTAGCTATGGAACTGCAAGATAAGTTGAGCGAAAATGGGAGCAAGGCGGTGCTGGTGGTGCTCGACAACGTTGAGCGTGTCTCGTCAGAGCTTGTTGAGCAGTGTAGGACTCAAATATCATCAAATCCTAAATCCAAAATTTTAGTTATTTCAAGAGTTGCACTCACAGGTTTGGGCACTCGAGAGCTCATGACGCCGCTCGAAGAAGATGATGCAAGGACTCTTTTTCGTGAAATTGTTCAACCAAGTGGCACCACGTCATACAACATCCCTGACCATGAAACCTTCCTTCAGGTCCTCTTCCCTTCTCTTACTTTTGGTATTATACTTGAGATTTGTTTACTTTGCTTGATGGGGTGAAACGAAACGCAGGTAGTGAAAGGTTGCGGAGGTTTTCCGATAGCGATCAAGCTAATTGGGAATGATCTGCGTGGGAAGCCTATTGAGTTCTGGCAGAAGTTATTGAGAGAATGGTCACGGCAAGGTCAGTCTATTCTTCAAACTCATTCAGATTTGCTTGCTCGTCTGCAACATTCATTGCAAGTCTCAGAAGAATATAAACCCATCAGTGAATTCTTCATGGACCTTGGCCTGTTTCCTAAGAATCACATGATCCCCGTTACTGCCTTGGTTGACATATGGGTAGAACTCTACAAACAAGACGAGGACGGCATAGATGCCATGATCCTCGTCCACCATTTGACAGCAATGAACTTGGCTGATATGGTAGTTGAGAGGTAAACATCTAGATCTACCATTGCTTCAAAAAGATTGTCTTGCATATATAACAACTCGAGTTATTATATACAAAAGTAATACGACGCGATGATCTTGTCACTTGATTAATGATCAGGAGAGCTGGAAGTGATGCAGACAATTACTACAACAACCATTTCCTAACACAGCATAATATTCTTAGAGAGCTGGCCGTCAAATATTCAAGCGACCAGGCGGAAACTTTCAAGAGGAAAAGACTAATCATTGAAATAAACGGACCTAATCGTCCCGAAGGCTGGCCGCAATCGCCGCAAGGTGTCCATGCATGCTTATCATTGTTGAAGGCATCAAGGCGGCAAAGGGTAGCTGCTCGTCTGTTATCCATATCAACTGGTTTGTTTCCCCCTATTAATTTCCTCCAGTTGGGTTTTCTTTCTAGACCTCTCATCCAAACTTGATTCAGTTAATTGATGCCATAGCCTATATTTACATCGTAGATCAAAAGGTCACTCCAGATTGGTGTAACATTCAAGCAGCTGAAGCTGAGGTTCTGGTTCTGAATCTGCAAACTCAAGAGTACAAACTACCGAAATTCATGAAGAAAATGAAAAACTTGAAAGTTCTTGTGCTCACACATTACGGTCTCTACACCTCTGAGTTGAAAAATTTGAAACTTCTCAGTTCTTTGTCGAGCTTAAAAAGAATAAGACTTGAGAAGTTTTCGCTTGTTTCCCTCTACCGACTGAGGAACCTGCGAAAGTTGTCGTTTTACAAGTGTGGGGTGATGCAGGCTTTCAAAAACTCTTGGATTAACATTTCAAAAAAATTGCCAAATTTGGTGTACCTGGACATTGAGCATTGCAAGGACATGATGGAGCTACCTCCAGCGTTGAGTAATATCGGCACACTGAAGAAGCTCAGTATCAGTAATTGCTCGACGTTCAGTGCATTACCCAAAGAGATTGAAAAGCTTCAGAACTTGGAATTGCTAAGGGTTAGTAAGTGTGGTCTGTTTGAAGAAATGCCAGAGTCCATGACGATGCTTCAGAATCTAAGATTTCTGGACGTGTCGTATTGCGCGAGTCTGAGACAAGTTCCGAAGGAGTTTGCCAAGTTGAGCAACCTAAACAAGTTGTACATGATGGGGACCTCCATACGAGAGCTTCCGGATTCAATCATGAACATGAAGCATTTAAATGTTGTCCTGTGCGATGAATTCGTGTTCGATTTCTGGGAAGCTATCAAACATGTTTGTCCCAAACTCGAGATACGCAAGGTCGCCACATTTCCCTAATTAACCCCGTGCATCTCGTCTCTCGTCTACTTTTTCTTTGAATCCTTCGGGTTTCTTTAACTGTTGATGTCATAGATTATTCTACGCAATAATACAATGTCACCATTGAATATGTTTTAATAATTATTTAAATTTTCCTACTATATTGAGTTCTTTCACTAACACTACTATAACATGCCTTCAACTGCAGCAGCAATGACTTATAGTTAACTTATTAAACATGCTTTAAAATATATTTTTTTCAATTATGCGTCAATTAAAGATAGAAGAGAGAGAGATATACACAATACTATTATGAGCCAAATAAATAAAGGGTTAAAGGGAAAAATGCTTTGAAAATTTTTTGAAAAGAGCACTAGGTATCTGATAGAATATAGAATAATAGTTAACTAAGATAATTATAATTTATTTAAGATATTAGGATTATCCATCAAAGATATTTAAAGAAAGATTTTATTCATTAAAATTAAAATTTATTATTTATTTTATTGTTATTTTAGATATTAGTATTTTTAAGATTAGATTTAAATTTAAGATTTAAAATTTAAATTTAAATTATTATTATTTTATTATTTTTAGAGTTCTATAAATAGATTAAAATTTTTTATTTGTATTTAACTTTTTAAATATTATTTATTTAATAAGAGTTTTTTAGAGTTTCTGCTTTCTCCCTGTCCTCCTTCCCTCCTCCTTTTCTTTCTATTTTTCTCCCCTCTTTCCTGTTTTATATCATTATACTTTTATTTTAAAAAGAGCGATATCATCTTGAAACTTTTAATAGTGGAGTAATGTCAGTCTAAACTTTTGACGGCTAAGTTTTACTTTCACTAGAAATTTTACCCTTCCTCTCTATCTTTTTCCTTCCCCACCTGGAAATTTAAATTCCACAATGAAATTCCTATGTAAGAGGAGGATCATTCATTGTCATAAATCGTGATTACTTAAGCAGCTTCTTCGAGACCATATATACACAAATTTAATTTGATCTCCTCTAATGAATTTTTGTCTTAACTTTCTAAAACCACATGAATAAATGAACCTCCCTTCAAGATGAGTAAATGAACAAGTCATTTTAAACAATTCATGGGAGATCACCACCATCCAGAATCCAGCGTTCTTGAAGATGAATAAATGAACCTCCCTTCCTCTTCTTTCACCCTCAATTTTTTAAGTCAAGACCATGAGTTATAGTTTCAGAACCATAAAAACCAGAAAAAAAAAGGGCGCTGATTCCTCACTACTGAACACTGTGAAAGCAAAACCAAAGGGGAAAATAAATCAAACGAAGATTATATTTGCCAAGGAGCTGTAAAACTGAGTTTTTCTAAAAATAATTGAAAATTCCCCTTTTCAGCACTCCAAAAAATTTACCCAGTCTCAGTAATCACGATAATATATCACCAAAAGCTAAATAAATTCCCATCACTGTTTGAAGGAAACATGAATGGTTTTCGCAAAACAAACTAGACAATACCTCAAATGACGGGATTCAGCAAGCCCTTTTGGAGGATGTCGAAGTTCTGGGTGCGTGATGGCAACGGTGATGCAGTTCTAAGAAGGGAGTGAACTTGAAGGAGTAAACATTGAACGGAGTTTTGAATAAGGGCATGGCTGAGTGGTGCCACCGCCGCTGCCGAAATAATTAAAATATGGTGATTTGATTAGAGGGAAGAAGATGGAGAAGGAATGAATGAGAAAAGGACTCTGCATTCAAAGAGAATGAAGAAGATGGAGAAGAGAGACGGTACAAGCAAGGTGGTCAAGAGACGAAAGAGAGAAGAACACACGAAACCTTTTCTGTCAAATTTATTTTCAACGGTCAATGTTTTTCAGATTCACCAGTGGGTGATATTGCGTCATTTTTTAAAATTTTAAAATAACATTGCTCTTTTTTTTTTTAAAAAAAAGAATATTCAGTATTTTTAAAAAAAAAATTTGAATCCCTTGACTCATAAATAAATTCATAACATTGGTGAAATTAAAATATAAAAATAAAAACCCTCAATATATATTATATTAAAGATTAAAATTTTTTTTAAAAGGCGTCATATAATAATACCAAAGAGAGTTTACTCTTTGGGTGTTTAATATAAGACAAAATTAATCTAATTTATGTTTATTAAGAAATGTTAGTTATATCATTAAAATTGTAAATTAGTTATATCATTAAAATTGTAAAAAAAATCTAACTTTCCAATTTTACTATTCTTTGCCATTAATTAATAATTATAATAAATTGTTATCTAAAAATTTAAATCATAATATATAAATAAGGATAAAATTATAAAAATAAAATTAATCACTCTAAAAGGCAGAAAGTGGAGTGCTCTTTAACAAATAGCGCAGCCCCAACCACCTTTGATTAGCACCTATCTGCCACTACGAATCATCATCTTGTATTAACTATATGCAGGTCAGAGTGAGAAATAAGATATAATATTCATGGTTTTTTTTTCTGGATATAAAAAAGTAATTATATATACAATATTAGCAGTCAGAAATGTAGAAAGTAAAATCCTAATATCCTCCAAGAACCATGTAAGGTGGTAAGGAGGAGAGATAAACCCCAACAGAAAGTCCCTGTGCGACGGACGGGGTACATAACATATGATAGGGGCCAAGTTTAATGGTGAATTGAATAAACCAAAAACAATAAAAAAAAAAAACATATGATAGGATAAAGCCCTCGATGGTCTTTAGCTGACTCATGAGGCCGTGCATCTCGGAGGCATAATTCTTGTTCACTCATCAACGTACTGAATCTCCTTTGCGCACGGTTGATCAACCTCGTCCCGATGAGAATATAAGAAAAACTTGTCACGGCATGTTAACATACATTAATTAATTAGCATGGGCTTGGAAAGATTTTAATCATTGCATTTAAAATTATACACGGTTCAAGTGTACATAAGGTTTCTAAAAATTATAAATATATTCCACTAATTAATATCGATTAACTCTCCAAAATTATAAATAAATATTAAGGAACTAGTGCCTGCATTTCTTAATCCAAAATTATAAATAAATCTTAACCAACCATTTTGATTAACTTGATTGTTTATATATGCCGATTCATCGTCAGATCACAATCACTAATTGTAATGCCAGTAATAAATTAAAAAAATATTATTTTTATTTCAATAATAATAGGTTCGTAAATTTTTGGAGGAGCACCTGGAAATTTATGAGTAAGACTTGTAAACTATTGCCCCAGTTACAACTCAACTAACATTAGAAAACAAAAAAGGCTAATGAAACTTTTAATCTCTCAAATTTATTTCACTTATTAATTCAATCTCTCAAGTTTATTTTTTATCAATTTGATCTCTTATTTTTGCATGTATTATCAATTTAGTCTTTATTATTTCAATAAAAAGTAATACTGTTAAAATTTGTTGCCGTGGGTTACAAAATCTTGATAACAATCACATAGATTAATAAAAAAGTATAATTATTTACATAAAAAAATAAACTCTAAAATTTTTAAAAATTAAATAACAAAATATACTGTAAGAGATTAAATTAATAAAAATTAAATAAATTTGAGATTTAATTTGTTCTCATTGAGCTATATATAAATTATTATACCATTTTAATTTATAACTCAATGAACATGAAAATTTCATTTATATTTTGAAATTATTTGTTGACACTTTTTATGACATTTGAGGATCTGATTTTGGCGACTTTGTATACAGGGGACATACTGTTCACATAAACCTTTAATAATCCATTAAAATTTTTGAGGTTGATTTATGAATGGGATTCGTCATCTGGACTGAGCATGAATGAGTTCTGGGCTTCGGGCATTGTTGGGCCAATTGGGTTGCTAGTCTAACTAGGAAAACCGTGTAGAGTTATCAACGTTGTTACTTTTCTATAATTAGCTTTTTATAATGTTAGTTCTTTTGACCTATGACGTACATATCGTAACAAGCTGGGTACGTTTGGTTTGTAGTGGTAGAATTTAGTATTAGTTTGTCTTTTTTCTTTACTATGTTTGGCCAAAAAAAAAGTTATCTTATATTTTGGAGCAATGAATCACTTCCAAAATATATTATCTTATAAACTGGAACAAAGCATGATGTCTGATGTAAGGCTACGTTAATAATACTACAACAAAAATGATGAAATGAAAGGATATTTTAAGAAAACAAATATATATATATATATATATATATATTATGGGCATGTATATACAAACAGTGAGAAACCAAATTGACGTTGCACTTAAACGATGACTGTTCATGATGATTTGCGAGCAGTGACGGTGCCTGGACCAGGACATGGGGTGCGACATTTTCAAAATCAACAGTCTAAAAATAATTTAATAATTAAAAAAATATTATACTCCGCATGACTTTATGTTATGAAGTTATTAAGCAATCATTTTATTGTTGATGTCAATAAAAATATCTTTTTAAATATAAATCATTAGATAATTATTTTTCAATGGATCTTTCATACATTTTACAGTTAATTTTTTACAAATTTTATAATAAAAAAGACTCTTCTTATCACTGTTGTGATAACTGCTAATATCATTTTTAATTTTAAGAAAATATAAAATTTATTGCAATCCAAACATCTTTAAAATTGGATTAAGGTGTGACAAAAATTTGAACCAAGGAATACAAAATATTAAAACATGTAATTTTTTTTTTTGTAATTTTTTTTAAATTCAGGGGTTCATTTGCCTCTCCTGAAGTCGACATAGCGCCGCTTATGTTTGCGAGGGTTGACAGTGAACATGCAAATTCCTGCTTAGTGGGGCTGCCTCCATTTAAATGATCCACGACTTTTGGGACCCATTCACTTGAGCCACCTGCGAAACTTCCACGAAGTTACGTTCAAGCATGCCTTCCACATATTTTTTCGCTCATGATTATAGCTGAACCTCATCATCACCCAAATGGATGGCCGCTTAACACAGGGTCCGCATAAAAAATTTAAAGTCCTGTACATTTATATAGACCTACAATTTAAGGACAATATTATTTTTTAATTCATTTATAAATAAATGCTAGGCAACTAGTGTTTTGTTTTTCCAATCCAAAAAAACAAGTGTTCGCACATTATTACCATGTAAAAAGATTAAAATACAATTTGGACTAATCACTTTGACTAACTTGACCGACCCAATTTATTTCTAACTTAAACAATTTATTTGATATTAATTTTTTATAAGACACTTATTTGCAATTTTCTACGTCATTTTAATTTTTTAAGGTCTTTCTTGTAATTTTTTTGGTCAGCTAGTTTTTATTAATAGTAAAAGCAACATTGTATTATTTTTAATTGTTAAAGGAAAATATTATACCTAAAAATTAAAGTCCTATTCATTTATATGGACCTATAGTTTAAGAACAAAATCTCTTTTTAATTCATTTATAAATAAATGCTAGGCAACTAGTGTTTTTTTTCCCCCAATCTAAAAAACAAGTGTTCGCACGTTATTACCATGTAAAAAGATTAAAATACAATGTCGACTAATCACTTTGACTAAATTGACCGGCCCATTGATCATCATATCACTGTCACTAGTGGCAATGTCCATAATTAATTACAAATATCATTTTTGTTTCAATAATAATTGAGTTGTAATTTGCAGTAAGATTTGTTAATTCATGAATCAGACTTGTAAATTACTGTACTAGTTTAATTTACAGCTCAACTAATATAAAAAATATATTTACTAATAAATTTTGAATGCACTAGTTAAATTATATATTTTTAAATGAAGATTTATAAATTTTGCCAAAGGGTAATAAATTAGACACTATTTTAATTTATAATTTAATTAATATAAAGGGTTAATATATATTTTTATCCTTGAAATATTTTTCAAAGAGCACGTAGCACCCTAAACTATTAGTCAAGATAATTTTACCTTTAAAGTAATTAAAATGAAGTATTTTTACCTTTATCGTCAAATTCCCACGTTGATAATTGGAAAATGTTATTTAGGGCTCCAACATTGACTGTTAAAAAATTTGATGGGAAGGACACAAATGTTCCATTTTAATTATTTTTAAAGTAAAATTACTCTGATCAATAGTTAAGGCGTTGAGTGCTCCGTGGAGAATGCTTCAAAATAAAAATACACTTTTACCCTAATGTAAATTAATTAAAAATACATTTACGTATAAATATTTGATATCAAACTTGTTTCCAATAGTCCAGATGATTGACCCAGCAAGATTCATCTCAATCTAACTAGATTTTTTCCTTGTGCAATACATAGGATATGATGTTTTTAGGATGCTATGTTCATTATATTCATGATGATGAATTATATTGTTATATGAAATTAGTTAGATTCAGTTATTTGGTATTTTTATATACAAGTAGTTTATATGTTATGTACTTCAATAATGTATTAGCTGTGCAATATCAATGTCAAAAATGAGATATATCAATTTGTTTCACACAAAATTAATGTTTTTTATCTTATTAATTAATCTCATTTCAAATTTATTTTTCTTAATGATTTAATATTTTCTTATTCAAAGGTAACCTATTTCAATTTTATTTAGCCAAAGACATTTTAAATCTGCTGTACATAAAACTTTCTTGCCTTCATTTGGCTCCACCTTCACCTGGTCCTTGATTCCTTTCCCTCTATCTTTACGAATTGGATTTTGGCAGGTTGGAGGGGAGAAGTGAAAGGGAAGTCCAGTTATGGGGTAGGAAGAATAGGTAGACTTCTTGGTAATGGTAGCTTATACTGGTGGCAACATGAGGAAGGAGGAGAAGGAGGTGAGGGTTTGAGAACGAATCTGGGTTTAGATGGGGAATGAGATCTAAGTTTGGAGGAGAGAAGTGGGAGGGGTGAGAGAAGATGTGTACATGTGGAGTCTAACATGGCAAGTTATCAGGCAGTTAACTTAATGGTCAACGTAATCAAACTTTAATAGTAGCACAAGATTGTAGCAAATTGAAAAATATTAGGGCGAAATTATGCCAAGAAATTTGAAAATACTAGAAGAATAAATTAATACCTCAACCCTTATCTATTTTATTTAAAAGCCCCCACGTCTTCTTTACAAGTAGAGTTTAAAAGTTTTATACAACTTATTTCGTACTACGTTGGCACAAGTCCTGTAGTGAAGAATTTATTAGCAACAAGTCAAATTTTGGAGACATTCTAGTGAGGGAGAATTTCAGTTAAGTTCTTTAAAAAAAAATCTAAAAAAAGGTCCTGATTTTTTGTTTGGATAAAGATAAAATATCTCTTCTTATAAAAATAATAAAAATTTTATTATTTATTATTATTTTTTTAATTTTCTCTCTTCTCTAGGAGCTCTTAACTGTAAATAAATTTTTTTATTAAAATGATGTAAATGTTTTTGTCTTTTTTTGTAAAAAAGAGTTATCATCGCTGCCGCGTCGTGGTGCCATTTCTTTTCTTTTCTTCTTCCTCTTCTTTTTGTTGAAATTGACTTCGAGTTCAACTCCCGTCTATATATGGCCCTTCTTGTCGATGATATCGCTCACAGTTGGGGGAGAGAGACACTATTCTTCTGTGCTGCTTTTTTTGTTTTCGGGGCAATACAGTACTTCAATGGAAGCTTTTTCAACTTCATGTACTATTTTGGGGGCGATATCGACTGCTGTGAACATTGTGCAAAAATGTCTAGAGGCCAAAAACATTTTCAAAAACCTCCCCTCCACCACCAAGAATCTGCGTCGGTTGCTTGAAGACTTGGAACCAGGCATGAAGACGATGGATTTCCCAGCTATTGTAACTGAACTCATGCAGAAGCTGAAGGACATGAACGAAGCAAGCCAAGGGGTTGTGGACAAAAACAAACTCACTTGGTCGAATTTCTGCTGTGTCCCGTGTTTTCTAAGCAAATATGATGAAGCGTACCAGTCCGCCAAGAATTTCTGCGCCATTGAAATGCAAGTGATGATGCTAACCTGTTTGATGCGTATTAATTTTAAGCTTGGACAAACCAACGAAGTCGCCGACCAAGAGACTGATAATAGTAGCAGCGAATCCGTGCTCCCCCAAAATAGGGTCACGGTGAACTTGGTGGGTCAATGTCAAACTATGGACTGCTTGAAGTATGGGCTGCTTCATGACGATCAGCAGGTCCTGAACTTGATTGGTTTGACAGGATCCGGAAAGACCACTTTGGCTGGAAAACTCTGTCATGACGTTGCCGTCAAAGGTAATTGCTTGGCATAATCTTCCTGTTTCTGATGATTGAGCTTTTAAAATGTTTATCTCTAATTGGAACAGAGCAAGGACATTTTTATATGAAACGTATATAAAGAAACATAAAACATGCTCCCAGTACAGCTCCTATATAGGAAACATTTATATCTTGAAGTTAATGGAAATTCATTCCTTTTTGTTTCAATAGGTAGATTCAATGACAGCATCATCTTTGAGAAGTTGGGATCGCAGAGTAAAAGCAATGAAGCGTACAAGAAATTGAAAGAAAAATTGTCCAATCGGGCATATCCGGTACTATTGGTACTGGATGATGTTTGGACTGACTCTGGAAATATCATTGAGAGGTTAACGGGTTCAATACCACCAAATTCTAAAATCTTGGTGACTTCAAGAGGTCAAATTACAACGCTTGGCACCACATACCGCATGGAATCACTTTCTCCCGAAGATGCGGAAACCCTTTTTTTTCACTTTGTTCGACAAAGAGACATCGACTTTGGTGACCATCGAAAACGTGACATGCTTCGACAGTTAAAAAAAAAAAAACACACACACACACACACACACACACACATCAGGATTCTTTGATTTGTCCGGATGACCCATGAGATGTTGCATAAATAGGATGTGTCAAAAGTCAGAACACAATAATTTCATTTCATCTTTACAGAGTTCTTTATTATTTGCTTTAATGATTTAGAGATGTATGGTTAGACAGAAAAAATGATAGGTACTATGAGCAGGAAATAATTTGATGCACAAAAGGAAGGAAAAGTCATAAGCTTAACTAGCGTAACTGGTTGTATCTGGTTCACTTAAATGCAGATCATTGACGGCCGCAAGGGCTTAGCTTTGGCTATTGAATTGATGGCTCTAGACCTCCAAAGGGAAAGTAATTGTATTGAAGGGTTTCAAACGGCGCAGTTAAATTTGTCGCAAGGTGGCTCTATTCTTGATTCAAATAAAGAATTGCAAGCTCGTCTCCAAGATTCCGTAGATAAATCCAACACGGAGTTTTTTATGGACCTTGGGTTATTCCCTGAAGATCAAGATATCCCCATCACTGCATTAATAGACAGTGGATTGAACTGTATGAACTAGATGAACGTGGTATATCTGCTATGATCGCCATCCACAAATTAATAGCCCTGGGTTTGGCTGCGAGGATCAAAGTGCGAAGGTAATTATGTGCACTGCAATATTCTTACCGTTTATGGTGCTAATTAATTTGATTTGAATTATATTGCTAGTCCACATTGGTCGTTGGTTGCATTCAAATTCAGGCTCAGGCTTTTGATCTTCTCACATTTGGGTTTTGCTTGTTTAAGCAGGACTGTTGGTAGCGATCTGGACAATTACTACAATAACCACTTCCTCATGCAGCATGGTCTTCTCAGAGAGCTTGCCGTCCGTACAAGCAACAAGGAGCCAGTGGAGAACAAGAGAAGACTGATCCTAGACAGATCATCAACGTCCTGAGTGGTGGTCTAAGCACAGAGTAGATGCTCCTATACTGTCAATGTCAACTGGTTTGTTTAATTACCTCTTTCCATCTCTATTATTGTCTTGCTTATGTACAGTCTCACCCAGTTTACAACCGAAATCAATATAAGAAAGCTTTTAGTGCTGTATGCCGTTCACCTTCTTCCACATTTTAATACAGATCAAAACACTACTCCGGACTGGTTCAAAAATAATCAAGCAGCTGGTGCTGTGGTTCTGATTTTGAATCTTAAGACTAGAGAATTCAAGTTGCCTGAATCCATTTAAAAGATGAGAAACTTGAGGGTTCTTATTCTCACCAATTATGGTGTGGAATATCACACGGAATTGACAAGCCCAGGGCTGCTTGCTTCTCTAGGGAAACAGAGGAGAATCATACTGCAGCAGGTTTCACTTCCTTACCCGTGCAAACTGAAGTACGTGCACAAGTTATCTCTTTACATGTGTGAAGTGAGGGACGCTTTTGAAAACAACACTACGGAATTCTCAAAAGCAATGCCGAATCTGGTGGAGCTGAACATTGATTATTGCAAGGATTTAGTGAGGTTGCCTGTTGGGTTTTGCAATATGATCACCCTGAAGAAGCTCAGCATCTGTAGTTGCCCCAAGTTTGTTGAACTTCCCCAAGAAATTGGGAGGCTTGAGAAGTTGGAATTGCTAAGAATTAGTCACTGCGCTGAGTTTAAGGAGATGCCGGAGTCAATCACCAAGTTGACGAGTCTAACCTTTCTGGACATCTCATACTGCATATTGCTTGAGAAATTACTAGACAACATTGGAGAGCTGGCAAGACTAAAACAGCTATATATGACGGATTGTCCGGTAAATGAATTGCCAGGGTCGGTCGTAGATATGGAACATTTAGAGAGTGTGATATGCGACGAACATAGTTATGTTCTTTGGAAAGTTATCAAATCTAATGTCAACAGAGGACTGTACATAAAGAAGGCCGCGGGCGATGAAGACTTAAATTTTCTTTCCTGATGATCCCTCCTCAGGCTTCAACCATTGACTTTGAGTTCCCCAGAGCTGATTTGTTATTGGAGTCATGTGGAAACATTGCTTTCCCTGCTTTCGATCGATTGGCTTGTTGGTTTTGCTATTGTTTTCTTGATTGTTGTAGTTTGAACAAATCATTATTGGTGCAGTAAACTTGTACAACAGGTTGCTCGTCGAGAGAGTCTGATATGCGATCACCATCCACATCCTTCAATTAATGGTGCTTAATTAATACATTCAAGTAATCTTGATTATGGCACTAACAGTAGAGAAGGGTAATGCTTAGTTCTTTGGTGAACTAGTTGTTGGAATGGAGAAACGCCTTGCTTCTTTTGAAAGTTGCCCAAAGAATGAAACTCCACCCCACCCTGATAATGATCACTCGACCAAAAAAGTTAAGATTAGGAATGCAAGCGATAGTAAAGATGATGCTATGGAGGACGATTGCATTTCCTCTGATGAAGAACCACATATTTCCAAGACTGTGTCTCCGGAGATGTCCCAGAAACGCAAAACATCACGGAAACTATAATGCTTGTTGATGAAACAGAATCGAGGAACACCATAGTCCAAACAATTGCCTCTAAAGCACAACCAAATGCCACAGCTCCCTCATTTAAGGACAAGCTTATGAACGATGGTAAGAAAGCTGAAGATGAAGATGACATCAAGCTCGACAAAGAGGATGTGTCTCTTGGATTGAATGAAGGAATCCCCACAATAACCTTCTCTGCTAGAGTCCGAGAAGTTTTAAACAAGAAAATGAGTTTTGCAGTAGTAATAAAACCTAGGTCATTCAATTAGATATCGTCAGCTATGCTTGCAACTGTAAAATGTCTGGCACCCCTCAGGTCAATTCCAACTCACGAACCTTGATGAAGGATGCTTTACAGTAAAGTTCAAGGAGGAAATTGATTACCAGAAAGCTTTGCCCAATGGCCCCTGGTTGGTATATGGTCACTATTTAACTGTCTAACCATGGACACCCTCATTCAAACCTCAAGACCATGTCATTAATCAAGTCATTGGCTGAATAAGGCTGCCTGGTCTACCAACTCGCTATTATCATAAGAGTATTATTCGGTCCATTGGCAGTATTTTCAGCAAAGTTATTAGAATTGATTATAACACTAATTTTGGTGATCGTGGCAAGTTTGTGAGACTAGCAGCAATTATTGACCTTACCAAGCTACTTACTTCAAAGATCAGAGTTGACGGTCAGACCATTTATGTGGAATATGAAAGCCTTCCATTAATTTGTTATCACTGTGGACGATATGGTCATTTACAAGATAGTTGCCCGGAAAAAATGGAGGTGTCAACAGAAGGCATTCCATCGCCAGTGGCGAGTGAACTGCAAGTGGTCCCTGATATGTGTGTAGGTACGAAATATGGAGAGTGGATGCACGCCTCCAAGCCAAGGAAAATGTACGACAGAAGTGGACGTAGAGAAGCATATATCACAAGCAAAGGAATTGCTACGTCCTCAAGGTTTGACGTCTTGAATGTTGCTATAGAAATTGAGCATCACAGCCACCAAGGGTATGAAGCTATTAGAATGTGCCCCACTGGAGAAGCCACTACCTCACGATATAGACCAAAAGAGACAAAAGTTGCCCCAAAATTAATCCTAACCTGAGACCAATTATTGGTAAAGAGACTGTGCCTAGCAAGGACTGCATATTTAATGAACTTAGCTATAAGGCTATGCAAGCTACCACAAGCCTCGACAAAGCCTAACACCAAGCAGTCATTGTCCAAGATGATAGGATCCCACAAAAAAGCCAAAATAGCCCAAACATTTTGCTGCTCTCATCCTCCACACCTAAAAATCCAGCCCAGTTTCGCAACAGTGATCAGATTGCTTTACTTATTAAGCTACTTGATCCAATCACTGAACCAAGGGGTTTTAATCTAACACCTAAAGTTAGAATTAAAAACTTAGAGGATGAGCACAATGACTCTCGAACAGGGCCATCTATATATGCAATGAAGGAGATTGCTAAAGGTCTTCATGCAGAAAATGCTTAGGACGCCAATGATGAAGTTGTTGCCATGCTAGTGGAAGGAGTAGATTTTAACTCAATTCCCGAGCAATAAATCTTTTATGATTATGTCCATTTTTGTTTGGAATTGTTAAGGGGCCTCTAACAAAAGGTTCCCCTCTATTACTAAATCTTTTATGTCTACTTACAAACCTAAAATTTTTGTCTTTATAGAATCTAAAATTTCAGGAGCTAAAGCTGATAAAGTTATCAAGAAACTTGGATTTCATTTCTCTCATAGAATGAAAGCTTCAGATTTCTCTGGTGGAATATGGATTCTCTGGACTGATAAAGTGACCATCAATGTTATCACTAATCATATCCAGTTTATTCACATGGAAGTACGCTTTCTTATTAATGGTAGGAATTTCTTCTTTTTAGTTGTATATGGCAGCCCACAAAGTCGCTATCAGAAATTCCTCTGGCAGGATTTATCCAAATTGCCTCCTAACTCACACCATCCATTAATTCTAGCCGGAGACTTTAATGCCACTATTCACAATGATGAAAGAGTAGGGGGTTCAGGACGTATTCAAATAGGCTGCAAACTTTTTAAAGACTTTATTAATCAACATGGGCTTATTGATTTGGGCTATAAAGGCCCAAAATTCACATAGAGATGAGGCACCCTCATGGTTCGACTGGATAGGACCTTATGTAACCAGTGTTAGTTTAATACCTATCAAGCTAACTGGGTTGATCACCTACCCAAAGTTCTATCTGACCATAGACCCATCCTGATTCATTTGGGCCTCCATAAGCAAACCTAAATGCCTATTCAAGGTTTCAAATTCCTTGCGTCTTGGGCCTCTCATCCAAACTTCAACAATCTTGTTAAGAGATGCTGGTCCCCTGATCGAAGTGTAATTGAAAACATAAAAACTTTCTCTAACAAGGCTACACATTGGAACACTCACGTTTTTGGAGACATCAGACAATGGAAGAAGAGATTACTTGCTAGAATCTTAAGAGTTTAACGTAAGCTTAAAACTTTCCCTCCTCTGATTTTCTCTTGACTCTTGATCTAAATTTACGAAAAGAGTTTGAGGAAATTTGTTTACAAGAAGAACTGCTATGGTTCCAAAAATCCTTTACAAATTGGATCTGCCTCAATGATTGGAACACATCCTTCTTCTATACTAAGGCTCTAATTTGTAGGTAGAAAAACCACATCACTAGACTATGGTCTACCCAAGGAGAGTGGATTGAGGATATGCAGCAACTTACAGTGATGGCTCGTGATTTTTACAAGAACTTGTACCACCTCGAGGATACGAGTTTCACGCCTTATGTGGTTACAGGTGCTTTCCCCAAATTCTCTGCTTCATCTTATACCTGCTTAGAGAGATTGGTCTCCATTGATAAAGTTAGGGGTGCTCTTTTTGAAATGAAACCGCTCAAGGCACCTGAAGAGGATGGTATTCATGCTATGTTTTTCCAAACTTAATAGGATGTTGTGGGTCAAAATCTCTTTCAATATATCAGGGATTTTTGGCTTGGCCAGCCCAGCCCTTGGATCCTTCACTAAATTGCACTCTTATTGCTCTTGTCCCCAAAGTCAGTCAGCCACAATACATGCGAGAATTTATCCCTATCAGTCTTTGTCCTGTCATTTACAAAGTTATCACAAAAGTGATAGCCAACTACTTAAGTGTAATTTTACCTCATATTGTTTTACCTTAGCAGGCCAACTTTATCCAAAATCGTAGCATTGTGGATAACATAATTATAGTGCAAGAGGTGATACACTCAATGCAAAAAAAACAGAAGGAAAAATGGATGGATGGTCGTAAAGGTAGACCTTGAGAAAGCTTTTGATAAGCTACGATGGAAATTTATCCTTGATACCTTAACAAATGTTGGTTTACCTCCTTTCCTTATTAATCTAATCATGGCTTGTATTACTTCTCCTACCATGCAAGTTATCTAGAATGGTTGCCCCATTGACAGCTTCTCCCTTATGAGAGGTGTATGACAAGGGGATCCACTCTCCCCATATATCTTTGTTCTTTGCATGGAACACTTATCACAAGCAATCATGGCTGAAGTTGCTAAAGGAACTTGGCATACCATTAAGCTGGGTCGAAGGGGCGAACCTCTCTCATATCTATTTTTTGCAGATGACTTAATTCTCTTTAGTGACACATCTGATTTGCAAATTGAAACCATTCAAAGAGTATTACATCAATTCTACATCTCATCGGGATAGGTCATCAGCCACTCTAAAACCCAAATCTGTTTCTCCAAGAATGTTTCTAACGCTTCTTGTAATAATATTTGTCAAAAACTGGGGTTCCAATACACAAGTTCCCTTGGGAAATACCTTGGTGTCCCCCTAATCACTGGGAGAGTAACTTCTACCACTTACAGTTATATTCTTGAGAGAATTCAGCAAAAGCTAACTGGTTGGAAAAGTAGAACCCTCTCCCTGGCTAGTCGTATTACTTTAGCTAAGTCTATGCTTACATCCATCCTCGTCTACTCAATACAGAGTACCTTACTTTCTGTCTCTAGTTGTCACGCAATTGAAAAAATTGTAAGAAACTTCATTTGGGGTCATACAGATGATCATCGAGGTGTGAAGTTGGTCAAATGAGATGTCCTCTGTCAGCCTTTGTCTCATGGAGGTTGTGGATTATTGAACTTGGCAGGCCAACATAAGGCCTTTCTTGCAAAATTAGTTTATAAAATTGTAGCAAATCCAACTATGCTATGGGTGCGTGTCTTACAAGGGAAATATAATCTCAAAGGACTATATCCATCAATTCCTAAATGTTCAAAACCCTCTTATTTATGGAGAAGCATTACAAACATCTGGGAAGAATCAATGATACATATGAAATGGAAACCAGGTGATGGTAGGCATCTAAAATTTTGGACTGACTCTTAGGTTGGGGATCTGGGACCTTTAAGAAACCTTGCCTATGCTGATCTTACTGAGATTGAAAAAGAAAAATTGATTGCTGATTTTGTGAAAGACAATGGTCAATGGAACTGGAGCCTTTTCGAGCACTTCTTGCCTAATTCCATCTTACAACAAATTAACACTGTTAGTATTGCTCCTATTGGCTCTATGCCTATCTGCTCTTGGAATCTCACTCCTAATGGTGCATTTACTGTTAAATCAGCATACCAAGCCTTTATCTCTCAAACTTGGAACAATGTAGACACAAAATGGAAGCATGTTTGGAAGCTTCCAGTAGCCCAGCGAGTGAAAACTTTCATTTAGCTACTACTCAAAGGTCATTTGTTAACAAATTCTGAACATCTTCGAAGGAGGATGACTGATAACCCCCAGTGCTCTCTCTGTAATGACCCAGTTGAAGACATAGACCATGTTTTTCAAAGTTGTTCCTTTGCGGCTGCTGTGTGGAAAAAGGTTTTACCGATGGATATGTATGCTGAGTTTTGCAAAGTTAACTTTGAATCCTGGCTTGTTCGTTCACTTCAAAGTAAAAAGATGGACATCTCTTGGAAAGTGGGAATTTCAATCATGTGTTGGAAATTATGGGAGGTTCGAAACCATAAAATCTTTACTGCTGATTGTTACTATGTTGACTCATTTATTGTACACGTTAAGACTTTGGTAGATCACACCCTTAGAGTTTTTCCCACTTTTAAGCTTTTGATGTAATTGGCTTTTGCCTTTTGTTTCTATACAGTTTTCTTAATGAATTCCCTTTTACTCAAAAAAAAGTAATCCTGATTATGGCATTTCAGATATCTGTATTTGCTGCAAACTAATACTCTCCTCCCGTCCCAAATAGGTATTTTGAGGTGATTTTTTTGTTCATTTTATCTATTTTTTTATATAAATTTAAAATAATACTTTCTTTATCTCAATTTATAAGACATCTTTGAATGTAATTTGGTGTTCAAAATATAAAACACCTTAATAAATATAAAATTTTATTAATTATACTTGTTTTAATATTACATTTTTCTCTTTATTATATTCTCTCTCTATTTAATATTTTACAAATAAAGTTATATTAAATGAAGTATATTTTTAAAAATTTATATTTTTTTAAAAAATAAAATTATAAAGTGTATTTAATAAGTTTTTATTGTTATATATGTATAATTTTATCTAAAATTATATTATAAATTAAGACGAAAGAAGTTTTTATTAATATTTTTCTATAATATAATCTTATTTATTTTAACAGTTACAGAGATCATTTATTAAAGTTTTAGCTTTCCAGTAATAGATTTGGCAATGTGGTTAATATTTTATTGTGTTGATTGCAAACCAGTAAAAATATTCTTACATGAACGGGATGTGTCAAGTCATTTTTCTAAGTGAATGTGATGAAACCTTAAAAGATTTATATATATTTTGAAACAGACAGAGTAAATATTTACAATAGATTTATATTTTCGCCACGCGCGCGCTTCTCTCACAAATTGCAATGTTTTCTAGTATTGGCAGTACGACAACACTGGACATTTTGATTCTGTTTGATCTAAAGCTCATGCTCCCAGGAGATTTTCTTTTTGGGTCAACACCAGAAACATCCCCCACCCAAATGCATAACACCAGAAACCTTTTGAGAGACATGAGTAATGAGTTACTCTTTATTACTAATAGAAAATGAGTACTATTGTCTTTTTTTTTAATAGCTGATTACTATAATTAATTTAAACTATTCCAATTTATTTATAATTAAAAGAGTCTCTTAATTATCCTTATCTATTGTAATTATTAATATTTACTTTTTCTGTCCTAACTTATAAAACAATTTTGGAAGTGATTCAATATTTTAAAATATAAGATAATTTAATAAAAATAAAGTTTCATTAAATATTTTTTTAATATTACCTTTTTTAGTATATTATCTCCCTATTTAAAATTATTAATAGATAAAAAATTTTTGAAAATTTATATTTTTTCTTGATAAAATAAAATTGGACGAAATGATCGGGTCAGTTTTTATCAGTGTAATCAATCATTGATAGAGATTGAGAACAGTCAAAGTCTACCACCAAGCAGTTGTCCAACTTGTGGTTAATCAAAGTGAGAGAGTGAGGGAGTGAACAATTTGGTTGTGCGGGGGATGGCTGTGCATCTCGTGACTCATCCATCAGCCTCAAGCTTGCACGTTACTAGTTCTTGTAGCCAGTAGGTACGTATTAATAGTGGTATTTAATTTGTACCCATCTTAATTGGTTTGATATCATATTGATTATATCGAGATAAGTCTCATTTTGGTTCAACAATAATCAGGACAAGACTTTTTAAAACGGAATAGAAAAGAGATTCAGGATAGGACGGGACATCGGATTACCATTAGGACGTCTCGTCCCATCCCGAATATTACATATATATTATTTTTTATTGTAAAAATATACATTAAATATGTTAATTATATTAATATAATTTATACTTACATTAATTATATTTGTAATATCCTTCTCCTTCTAATCCCATATTTAAAACTAATTCTCAAGTAAAAAGAAAT